GTTTTATTGCTGTTCTTCCTCTTGTCCCTCGTGTTCTCTAGCTCCGGAGTTCTGTCGTCGTCGTCGTCGTCGTTGTCGGTTACTGTCCGATCGTTCGATACTCGGTCGTTCTCGTCCTCGATCGTCGCGATACTTGAACGTGCTTCGACGTCGCTCTGTTTTTCGTTGTCTTCGTCGGTCTTTGTATGCTTGGATTTCTTTTTCTTTCTTACCGATTCGTCGTCCCGCTGCTGCTGCTGCTTCTTCTCCTCCACCGTCGTCGATTCTGAATGTTCTGCTGTCGAATCGTTACGCTTTCGCTTTTTACTCTTTTTCTCCTCTTTTTCTCTTCTCGTCTTCTTCTGGTCGTCGTGATTCTTCTCCTTCTGGTTGTCGTCCGGTTCGGAGGTATTCGTAACGTTTGTTTCTTCTTCGTTCTCGTTGTCCATTTCCATTCCTTTCCTCCGTTCCTCCTCGTCGTCGTCGTCGTCGTCATCGTCTCCGTCGCCGTCGTTCTCTGTTCTCGGATTTTGCTGCTCTTCGTTTAGATTTCCTCTGATTCTTTTTACCACGTCTTTCTCTGGCTCGTCGAAAGTAGTTATGCTGAGTAGTTCCTCGGGAGCTGTGTACGAAGGTAAGATACGTCCCTTCTTTTGAAATGCCTGATGCGGGACAAACCGGGACAATGAGAAACACGGATAGATAGATCGATGATACGACGATAACGATTGACGAGACTTTGCGATGTTTTCGTGTCTCGCGATGACGTTTCATTCCTACGTCTATCTACGCTTACCTTTAAACATTCCTCGGCACTCTCGGGTTCGTCGAACTCGATGAACGCGAAACCCTTGATTTTCCTGTTCTGGTTGTTGTTGTTGTTGTTGTTGTTGTTATTAGTGTTGCTGTAGTTTTTCTTGAACCTGGGTATCGAGACGTATACGACTTGGCCGTACTGGGAGAACATGGATTTCAGTGTTTCGTGGTCCGCGTCCGGAGGCAAATTTTGTACGTACACCGTGCAGTCGTCTATGTTTTCCTTCTTCCGTCGGACTATAGGAGTCACGCGACGGACCTTCATTCCGTCTTCCGACAACGAAAGGATCGTCGTCGCCCCCCCCGTCGCCGACCTCGATACTTGCAGAGCTTTGGCTATTCTGTTCACGTCGGTGGTCAACTCCTTGATTTTGTTGAACGTTAGAAACACGTTCAGGTCGACGTCTGAAATTGAATGTGAATGAAGCGTGTTTCGCGCGTGCATGGATGTCGCGATGCTGATGATGACGATCGTCGAGATGCCGGATCGGATAATGAAACGGATCGAAGTGTCAAAGGTTTGAATTGCTCACATGGATCGTCCTCCTTGATCAGACTGCTCAGAAATCTGTCTTTCCTTAGATTCGCGTCGCTGAAGTAGAATTCCATTTGTTTCAATATAGCAGCGTGCAAAGCTTTCTTCCTCAATCTTGGTTTGTTTCGGTTGTTGCGAGAGACGCCTGTGTCTTTGTCGATGATCGCCGCCTCCCCGTGCTTGTCGTTCGTTGATTTCTGCCGCCGACGCTGCTGCTGCTGACGCTGCTGCTGCTGCTGCTGCTGCTGCTGCTGCTGCTGCTGCACTTGTGGCACAGGAACTCTTTCAGAGTCCAGTTCCATGTCGGATTGCTGTTCTTCCATCACCATTGTCGGCGTTGATTGATTGTCGATTCCTTCGAGATTGAACTCTTGTTACTATTATTACGATATTACTGTTATTACGATACCATTTCCATTCGACTATTTAGAGTTACTCTAGAGTACGATACGCAATGATCTTGGAATTGATGTGACGTTTCTTTTCGACGAGAACTGAATTCGTTTTCATCGCGTTTCTACTTACTACTGGCTTTGGTCGTGAGTGAATCGCTCGTACAGACGTGAACTCGTGACTTGGACTCGGTCTAAAATCGTACGATTTATTGTCGTCGTCGTCGTCGTCGTTGTTGTTCTTGTTGTTGTACCATGTTGAACTTGGTTGAACTTTCGAATCGTCCGTATTGGCAGCAGTGATGAGATACGGGCCGGGTTTTCTCGCGCATGTGCGGCTTTTTCAATAACGTATGTTAACGCGCATATTTTGGAACCCAAGGGGTTCTCGGATTCCTGGAAGTAATATTGACGGGAAAAGACCGAGACGAAGACTGATGCCGGTAATATTGACGGGAGAAGACCGAGACGGAGACTGTTGTCAGTAAAATTGATGTTCAATTTGTAATCGTTTTCGCAAAATTATGCAGGGCGACCGCGGCGCCCCATTCTATCGAAAATTGTACATTACTGATGCCGAAAAAGTCGCGCATGTGCGAGAAAACCCGGCCCTGATTGGCCCTCATCACTGATTGGCTGTCCGTTCACATACGTACTGTGTTTGTGTGTATGCGCATGCGCGGCATTTTCGGTACTATGTCATGTATCATGCATGTACTAGATGGGAAACACGAAGCTTGGACATGAGCACTTTTATTTCCTGCGTGCGCATGCTCGTGTGTGTAAAAATACGAAAATATCGTATTGCTTGACGCTGGAATACGCTTTGTTTCACGTTTATGATTCGGTGAAAGAATCGATCGAACTTTAACGTCGAACGTATATATTTATATATGAATAATTTCGTAATTCGTGTTCGATGTACTTATCTTGTCTTCGCGCGATCGATGACCGATTAGTGGCCGTTGCTGCTGGCAGCACATACTGTACATACATGAGTAGCGCGAGGTAAATCTATTCGCTTGAAAATCTCGAGTCATTCGTGTCATCCATGGCGTGATTGTTGAATCCGAAACGCGTAATACGATCGGTTGAAACGATTGATTGAAAGATTGATTTCGAACGATGGAAGAGATGGGTATTATCTTGCCCGATAAGGTACTTTCATTACCGTTCTTACTTTCTCTCTGTGTGTCCGTGCGTGTGTGGGTGTGTGAAAATTAATTGAACAACGGTTTCGGAATCGTCCAGATTCCAAACTGGTCTCTCTCTTTCTCTCTCTCTCTCTCTCTCTCTCTCTCTCTCTCTCTCTCTTACGCCCCCGTCTGTCTCTGACCCCGATTTTACGTTTCAATCGCGAGTTTGATCACAAATTCGAATTTTTATTGAATTTCGTAGGATATTGGAGAGATGGATTGCAAACCGATGATCGGACATTATACCGGTGCTGTTGCTGCTACTGCTGGGGATGAATTGGACGTGGAAGATCTTTATACCAAGTACAAGGTAAAACCGGTGAACCACCGAGCAGTCTAGCACTGTATCCGTGTACGAGTTGTGATTTCTGATCTCTGTACCGTCTGTACGATGTCGTTGAATCCAAATTGTACGTTTCGGTTCGTCGTTTCACAGAGACTGCAGAGGATGTTGGAATTTCTCGAGGTACAGGAAGAGTATATTAAAGATGAGCAACGTAACTTGAAGAAGGAGTATTTGCACGCTCAGGAAGAAGTGAAACGCATACAAAGCGTTCCTTTGGTCATTGGCCAATTCTTGGAAGCTGTGGACCAAAATACTGGCATTGTGGGCTCCACTACCGGCTCCAATTATTACGTACGGATTCTTTCTACCATCGACAGAGAATTGTTGAAGCCTTCCGCCAGCGTCGCTCTTCATAAGCACAGCAATGCTCTGGTAGACGTTCTGCCACCTGAGGCCGATTCCAGCATCTCGATGTTGCAAGCAGGTTCGATTGCCGTCTTGCCGCCGTCGTCGTCGTCGTCGTCGTCTTGCGCGCGTTGTTCCGGTTCTGATTTCTTTTTCGTTTCGATTGCACAGATGAAAAGCCTGATATCCAGTACAGCGACATCGGGGGCATGGATATGCAGAAGCAAGAGATCAGAGAGGCGGTCGAACTGCCTTTGACTCATTTCGAATTGTACAAGCAGATCGGTATCGACCCACCGAGAGGTGTGCTGATGTACGGCCCTCCTGGATGCGGCAAAACGATGCTCGCGAAAGCTGTGGCTAGACACACTACAGGTACGAGATAGAAAGAGAGAGGAATTCGACGATTGGTGTTGAGAGTGTTTCATCGTATCTGCGATTATGAGCGAGTCTCAGCTCACATCGCACGCGGTGAGAACCTTTTCGCGACCGATCGGTCGATCGATCGATGTTCCATCTGCGATTGATACCGGCTGCGTTCTTTCAGCTGCATTTATTCGCGTGGTGGGATCAGAATTTGTACAGAAATATTTGGGAGAGGGACCGAGAATGGTCCGCGACGTTTTCCGTCTGGCTAAAGAAAATTCGCCTGCGATCATATTCGTCGACGAGATCGATGCTATAGCGACCAAGAGATTCGATGCCCAGACCGGTGCCGATCGCGAAGTCCAGCGTATACTTTTGGAATTGCTGAATCAAATGGATGGGTTCGATCAGACTACAAACGTGAAAGTTATAATGGCTACGAATAGGTGAGGCTGTTCATCGAACGTCTCTGTCACCCGCTCTCGCACTCGCTAGTTATCGTCTGGCTAATGTCATTTCTGTTCTGGTTTTGTCGTTGACAGGGCTGACACGTTGGATCCTGCATTGTTGCGTCCGGGTCGATTGGACCGAAAGATCGAATTCCCTCTGCCTGACCGTCGCCAGAAACGTTTGATCTTTTCGACGATCACGGCAAAGATGAATTTGAGCGAAGAGGTGGACTTGGAGGATTACGTGGCGAGACCGGACAGAATCTCCGGGGCTGATATCAACGCTATTTGCCAGGAAGCAGGAATGCACGCGGTTCGCGAGAATCGGTACATAGTCCTGGCGAAGGACTTTGAGAAAGGATACAAGAATAATATCAAGAAAGACGAGTCTGAACATGAATTCTATAAGTAAGAACGATGACGACGGGCAGCGATGAGCAGGCGGAATATTGATATACGCGGCGGCGCTACCACCGTTGTCGTTCGTGTCACGTTTGTCTAATGTCTATTTGCAACTACATGTAATATGAATATAATAATCAACATGTACGTTTACATAAATTCTACTCTTTTTACTTCCTGTCTGAGACTGAGAACTGACGTGTTGACTCGCGGTCACGTGTGTCACGCTACTGCTGCCACCTGTGTACTGCTTGCCTACCTACGCCTGTGCTGCTGCCTGCCGGCTGCGATCTGTATGAGTGATTCGGCTAAAATGCTAAAATGTCTGACGCTTTTCACGTATTATTGGGATCGTTCACGTTTGGTTTAGAGAAATACGCAGCAGCAGCAACGACGAAGTGGATTTGAAACGAATCGTAAAATCGAGTAAACCCACCGAGTAAACGACCAGAATCTTTCGTCGCATTCGTTTCGGTCGATATGTGTACTTGTCCTCGGTTATTACTTAGCAGCACTCTGCACAAGGTGAGTTTTAACAAACACCAAGAAACGTGTTTGCTTCTTTTCATTTCCCCTGTCCCCGATTGCTCTTTTTGCCAAGTAGTTTCTTTTATTCCAAGTCGGCTCGTTCACGTCGACCGAATTGTGTTGTCGGTTCATCGTCGTCGTCGTCGTCGTCGTAGGCGTCGTCGTCATCGTCGTCATCGTTGCGTAGAACTGTACGCGATGCAAGGCAAGTATGAGTATAACCTTAAGAAGTGCCCGTTCCCATGTCCGCCGAATGGAGAAAGATTAGGTGGTCCGGGAACACTCGTTTCATTACACTTGTTATTATCTTTTAGATTTCCTTCGAAAGCTCCGCCGTTCTACCGACCTACCTACCTAGGTATACGTGTATCTAACATGTAGGTGCATTCTACGTTTCGACCAGTTTTTTACCGGTGTATCTACGATTTCTTTTTCTCGAAACTATTTCTTTTTACTATGTTGGTCCTGACGACGATTATGCATCGATACTGTATATGTTGTAGTTGTGTAGTACGTGTAGTATATATACCTGTACATTTGTACGTTGTACTGTTCCTCTGTGCTTCTTACGAGAATTTTTTTTCTTCTTTTTTTATTTTACGAACATCATCATTGTCGCCTCGTGTATAAATTCACTGTACGCATATATATATATATATATGTGTGTGTGTGTGTGTGTGGGTGTGTGTGTATATATGTGTATGTGTTCACTTTGTAGAATATGAAGCGCACGTATTGAGCATGGCGAACGAAGCTTTTGTTAATCAGCTCCTGATAATCGTTGAGTAATGCATGAGAAAGTGAGGAGGATAATGATGACGACGACAGAGAGGGACGTAATTTGTAATTCTTCACAAGGTGAGCGATTTATCTGACTCTGAATCCCAGTTTTGTTTCTTGCTATAAATAAAATATATACATATATTGTCGTGACTCGGGTAGTATAATTTTGTACGTACAGAGAGCAAAGCTTTTTAAACAGAATCGTTTACGATTGAAAGATGCTTATGCTTCAGAGGAACCGACACCACTGGACGATGATACTCGCAATCCTGTGATCGACGATGTACAAATGTCAGAGACACCGGATAGTGCGAAAAGTCAACGACGACAAGAACAACGAGCCAATGATGGAGACACGCCCACGCCGTTGGAGAGCCCAAAGTTGCTCAAGCCCGTGCTAGGAAAGCTTCAAGCCAAGAAGAGATTGTTGGCGTTCGCCAACAAATTCAACGTCCTACCGAAAGCTCAGCAGAATAAAAGCAGCCCGCAAACTCCAGAGTCCAAGAAATTGAAGACCAAGACCAAGACCAAGACGAGTGCGACAACGAGAGACGATGGAAAATCATCGCAGAATCATTCTTCGAACATTGGATTAGACTCGGACTACTGCTACTACTACTACTACTCCTCCTCCTCCTCACCCTCCTCCTCCTCTGTGCAAGTTCACAACAATAGGCATTCGAGTAGTGGTGATGGTGGTGTCGGTAGTAGTAAATCAAAAAAAAAAACAGGTACGATACTCTCTTTTCGATTGATTTGGATCGTCCAAATTTCCTCATATTTATATTTCGTACTTTTTCGTTTTAATCGTAATTGTCTTGTGTAATTATGCAGAGGAAAAACGGGTACTCGCTATTGAGGAGATCAGGAGGGAAGAATCGAAGAGTAAAATGTTATTAGCCGAAGCTATGGCTGCAGGTACACAGGATTGTCGATGATGATGATGATGATGATGATGATGATCGATTTCGATTTCGAAGTGGTCGACGTGGGGCACCGACTATACTGAATTGTTGTTTTCTGTTGTTTTACAGCTAATTTGGAAGAGGAGAGCTATGTAAATAGGAATGTACAGAATTTGCTGGAGAATGTAAAGATAATGAGAGACAGGTCGATGAGTAGACGAGACGTAGAAGTGACTGCTGACGACAGCCTGCCTCGTAAGAGTACGTCGAAAGAAAATAAATGTTCCGAAAGGTATCTGACACCCGCGACAACGCAAAACGATTTCAATAACGTGTTCAATAAGTAGCTTCTCTTCGTTTATATTTGCGTTTCATCTTGTTCGTTCGTCGATCGACTGACTGATTGATTGATTGATTGATTGATTGATTGATTGATTGATTGATTGATTGATTAGCAGGAAACGACAGCACGCACCAGCAGTAGCAGCAGGAAAAGAGGAACGGAGAGTAAACAGTGTTGGTAAAGAGAAAGAACGGCAGTACAAGACGAGAGAACGTAGAAGAGATAAGGATAAACGAGACGATAACAGACACGAAGACAACAAAGATAGAAAGGAGGAAGATAGGGAGAAGAATAGGGATAATGAGAAACATAAATGGGATGACGTTCGCGAGAAGAAAGAAAAGAGGGAGAAGAGAAATGAGCATACGTCGCAAGAAGCAGGGACCGAGGTGAAAGATCTGAATAAGAAGGATAAAGAAAAGGAGAAATGTGCGATGCGTTCTATGACGTGGGTGGAATTCAAGAGATTGAATGTAACGATCGACGATTTTATTGAAATCAGAAAACGTGATTATTCCGATCGGCCAGCAGTGAGAAGCAGGTAGATTTGTATTCGGGTTCGTCGTCCGATCTTCGTCTTCCACCTTCGCGTTCCCTTCCAATTGACTCCCGTTTTCCCTCTGACACGTGAAAACTATACACACAGACACACACATATATATATATATATTTCGATACATGTTTGACAACGACGACGAATGATTTTTATTGAATTTTACACGGCAGCAGAACGGGTGAGGATTACCTGCGTCACTTCGAGCAACTATTAATGTTGAGCGACGATCGTTTGAAACGATTCGCTTTCGTCGCCGAAGGACTCGACGGCGGTCCTAAACAGTACCCTCCGGAATCGATCAGAACGACTAAACGAGGAAAACCTCAACTGTTCTATGCGGAAAATCCACGAGTATCGCTTTTTATCGGCCACCAACGAATTCTTCAAGCGGTCACCGCTGATCATCGGGAAAAAATGCGGGAGATTTGCGAGCCAGATCTTACACGACGACGACGACGACGGTAACGATTGTTGTCACGGTTTTCTCTGCGACTTTCGCTTTTCCGCTTTACTACAATCCACAGCTCCCCCTCCCCCTCCTCACCTCTCTTTTACCCACTCAAATTCTAACGATTTCAGAGACGATGACGATGACGATGACGATCACGATGACGATCACGATGGCAACGTTACCGCACTGCTGCGGCAACAACAGGAGGAGGAGGAGAAGGCTCTACGTGTGCGTAACTGGTATTTGAAAATAGCGATCGGCAAATGTGATCTCAGCCAACAGGATTCTAACACTAAGAAGTGGCATGCGATTAACGCGATGCAGCTACCCAGATCGAAGTGGGACAGCGAGGACGATGAAGATGATAATGATGATGATGACGGCTTGTCGATGAACGATCTCGAGAAAGATATCGAGACGCAAGTAAAATCTGCAGCAAGCAACATTACGCAAGGTGAGAATAATTTAATTTTAATTTAATTTAATTTATTCAATTTACGGGCAGTGCCCAGTATAACATGTGATAGAAGCATATAAACAAAATATGATATAAACACAGAAAAAAGAGAACAAAAAATTCAAAAATATAACCTAGCATACTCGCTTACAAAAAAAAAAGAAAACAATGAAAGTACAGAATTGTCACTACAAGATTAGTGAAAACTAAGCCACAGAATATTTAATACGAAGTTGATTTCAGAATTGGGAAACCAAGTTGCTCCTCCCGATCGTGATGGTGGTGATGCTACTGGAGGAGGGTCTAGTTCGGTAGAAGAGAATACCAATAACGACGACATTGACGACGACGACGACGACGACGACGACGACGCTGGACAACGGAAGGAGAAGGAGAATAAAGACCAGGTGAAGCAGGTTTCTAAAGTTAAAAGCGACAAAGTCGACGACAATGGCCAGCAACAGTCCTCTGCATCACTTCTGATCGCCGAAGGCAATGAAAAATTAGCATCGGAATACGAACAGTTTATGAAGATGGTCTGCAGCGATATCCCTAAAGAACTTTCCTCCTCACCGCCCAAACAAGCTTCGTCGTTGAGCTACCACGAGTTTAACATCGAGACTAACGTTCCGCCGCCTGAAGACAACAATTACCCGCCGTTCGTCGAGCACGGTAATATATCAGAATCTGACACTACTACCACTACTGCTAATAAGAAATCGTCGTTGCCGTGTAAAGTGGAAGACAAGTGCAAGATCGATGAAATTGGGAATGCAGAGAAAGTTCTAAAGATCGACAACGAGTCGACGGCCGGTTCTTCTACTGCTGCTGTTGCTGCTGCTGCTGCTGCTGCTACTACTACTACTACTACTAGTACTACTACTACTACTACTACTACTACTACTACTACTACTACTACTGCTGCCGCTACTGCTGCTGCTGATTCTGCTGCTGATTCTCGTCAACGATATCCGTCGGTTACATCAGCCGACAAACATTCGATAACTGAAGATAAAAATGTGCACGAGAACAATGTATCGGAAGACTCGAAGTCGATACCCAGCGATTGGGAGAACGTTCAAATCAAAGTGGAACGTATGAGCGACGAGAATTCCGAGTGCCGAGAGAACAGGAAACAGAAGAAGAGGAAAAAAAAAGTACGTTCCAGCAGCAGCGACGAGCAGTCGAGTTCGTCCAGTTCCTCCGTCGAAGAGGAATCCGCCGGGGAGGACGACAAGAAGAAGAAGAAGAAGAGGAAGAAGCGAAAGAATAGAAAGCGAAACGTGTCACACGATTCGGAATCGGTCTCAGATTCCGACAGCAGCGACAGTTGCAGCACCAGCACCACCACCAGCAGCGGCAGCAGCAGCAGCAGCACCAGCAGCAGCAGCACCAGTAGTAACAGCAGTAGCAGCAGCGATTCGTCCAGTTCCGACGACACAAGAACGAAGAAGAGAAGACAGAAAAAACGAAGAGCCGAGAAACGGAAAAAGAAATTGAAAAAATTATCAAGAGCGAAGAAGAAGAGGAAAAGGAAGATGGTGAGCTACGCTTCGTCCAGCAGCAGCGACAGCAGCAGTAGCAGCAGCAGCAGCAGTGATTCGTCCGACGAGGAGCAAAACAACAAGAAGAAGAAGAAGAAAAAGAAGAAGAAGGCGTCGCGCAAGAAATCTAGACAAAAGAAAAAGTATAATAAAGAGGGAAACGCGAGCGAAGACATGGTAAAGGTGATACAAAAATCGGGTTCGGAGTCGTCGGAGAATTCTCGGAAAAAGAAGGTTAAAGATGAGACGACGGCGGCGGTGGTGGCGGCGACGTCTTCGGGTGAACGAGGTAAAAAACGAGATAAGCACGAGGTATGGGGGAAGGAACGAGAACGACAACTGGTATACGGCAAGATTCGTAAAGACGAGGATAAGAGGAGTAAATCCGATGAACAATACTTGGAAGAATGGGAGGAGGTAGTGCTGGAACCAGAGAAAAGCGAGAGGAGGAACAGAGAGAAAATAGACGGGACTATTGAAATTATAGGAAAAGGGAAGAACGAACGGAGGAGTAAGGACGAAAAGACGAAGAAGCAGGATGCAGAATGCTTCACAGCGAAGCAGCAGCAGCAGCAGCAGCAGCAGCAGCAGCAGCAGCAGATGGACGTTGTACAAGTGAAAACGATAGACGACGTCGAAGGGAAATCGAAGAAGAAGAAGAAAAAAAAGGACAAAGAAAGGAGAAACAGTAGCAGCGGCGAGTTCTTGGCTGACTGGACCGAGAAGGAGAGCGAACGTATGATTGAACAACACGTGACGACGACGACTACAACGACGACGATACAAGAAGTCGAGAGGTCGAAGAAATTAGACAACAAGAAGAAGAAGAAGGAGAAGTGGGGTGAGACTGAATTCGATACTTTGAACGTCCCTTCGTTGACGCAACTCGAAAGAGAAGTGACCAAGAGGCAATTGCTGGCCGACGAATGGGAGGTCGACAGCCTGGAAGCTGTACCCTGCGACTTGCTGCTGCTAGCTGCTGCTGCTGCTGCTACGACTTCGACCGGAAAGAAAGCTTCGCGTTCTTCGAAGAAATTGGAGAAGGAAGTTCGTTACGACAAGAAAACGGACACGTATATCGCTATAGAAAAGGAATCTTCGAGAGAATCTAAGAGTACGAGGCAGGACAGATTGTCCGCGATGAGGATATGGGAAGAGGAAGAGGAGGAGGGAGAGAGGGAAGCTATAATGCTCATGGAACAGAGGAAAAAGAAAAAGAAGAACGACTGGAACGTCGAACGTCACGAGGAGATGTACTCGCGAGAGAAGAGTGATAGAAAGACGACGAGCATCGATACAGTACCGACGATCCATGCGATTTCTACGATCGATGCTGCTACTCCTACTGCTGCTCCTGCTCCTGCTACGGTTACGGTCCACAACGAAGCTCATTCGGGTAAGGAAGAAGATGCGGCGCCGGCGGTGGCGGATACGTCGTCGATGAAGCACGATACCGTTTCCATACGGAGGAGCAAGAAGAGTCGTTGGGACATAACGTCGCAAGCCGAACAAGAGAAGATAGATGAGCTGAAGGCTCCCGTCATGTGGGAAGAGGAAGAAGAAGCAGAATGGATAAAGATGAATAAAGTTTGCGACGACACGATATTACCGAAACCCAAGATCAATGATAAGAACGTTGTACTCGAACAATTAAAGAAATCTAAAGGTTTCGCGACTAGTTCGAATATCGATCTGTTCTCGAGAAAATCCCACGACACGGAGTTGCTCGAGCCGTCGTCGTCCTCGTCCTCGTCCTCGCCTTCGTCTTCGTCTTCGTCTTCGTCGTCGTCGTCGTCGTCGGCGTCGTCGTCTTGTCCCGTTGTCACGGGTCCGGAAGAGCACGGAAGCAAGTCGAGACGCAAATCCGAGACGAAAGAGCTTACTGCCACGAACGAGACCACTATAGATCGGCAGCGGCGAGGACGGTTGGACATGTTCGAGATGAACGCGGTATTGTACAGTCCCAGTTCTCCGGCCGCGTCTCAGAAATCTGAGGAGACGAAGACCCCGGTTCTCGATACCGACACTGGCGTATCAACGAATGTAAACCTGAAGCAGGGGCAGAGCGATCCCCGCGAAAAATCGAAGACTGAAAATCTGATTCCGAAATCCGACGAACAACAGTTAATTTCGAACATACCTCTTTGGATCGGGACGGGAAAGTATCGGGACGGGATGTTCGGGGCACAGAAGCCTAAGAAGGAATTCGAACAAACGAGCACGGTCCTCGGAGCACGAGAAGAACACAAAGAGACGGCTGTTAAAACGACGAGCGAAGCCATCGAGAGCTATGAGCGCGATTTCCCGATCAACGAATCAGGTCCCAATTACAAGTCTTCTTTGGACATATTTGCCAAATACGAGTGCGAAGAGTTACAGAAGTTATCGACAACCACTACTACTGTCGCTGTTGCTGCTGCTGCTGGTACTATTATCGCCGCTGAGAAGAAGAACGTCGTGGAATATGAACCGGAGGAGTTCCGCGAAAAATTAATCAGCAAGAACAAAGAAGCTTCGAGTCCGTCCGTCGTCATTGGTACACGGAAGACCGGGGAAGAGAACAAAGCGCCGCTTAAATTGATCCCTAAACAATTGTTAGTCAGGCGAAGCAACGAACGCGTGAAAACGAAATTGCTTTCTAACGCGGACAGTTCTCTGCGACACTCTACTACGACGTTGCTCTTGAACGCCCACAAGAAGAGGCTGAGGGAGTCGCAGATATCGAAAGACGTCTCTCGTGGCAGCAGCGGCGACGGAGGAGACCCGTTCCGAAAGATCGAAAGCGAGAAGAACACGGTCGGCAGCGGTAAGGCAGACGAGAAAGATTTACTTATTCCCGAATCGACCGTCGTCGTTGCCACTGCTGCTGTTGCCTCGAACACGGAGCAGATCACGATCACGGATGTTAAAATAGATTCGAAAGACTCGTCGTCGACGATAACGGTGAAGAGACCAGTTATCATCACCACCACCACCGGTACGAAGTCAGACTCTCCGATGGGAGCGATGAAGCTAAATTCCATCGTCGAGGAGTCTGACAAGACTGATGGTGATCGAGTGATGATCGTCAAGAGATCTAGAATGCCGAGTAGCAGCAAAGACATTAGCGACGATGAGAGTCAGAGATCGATAGTGTCTAGTAGAACAGAACAGAAGAGGAAGGGCAGTCCTAGCAGCAGCAGCAGCAGCAGCAACAGCAACAGCAGCAGCAGCAGCAGCAGCAGCAGCAGCAGCAGCAGCAGCAGCAGCAGCAGCAGCAGCAGCGGCGGTGGCGGCAACAGCAGAAAAGAGAATGGAGAAGACAAACAAATTCGAGACATTCGTAGTAAAGTGAAGAGGGAGAAGTTCAGTAACGATAGAGACAGGAGAGACGGCAGTCGAGGCTCGAAGGATTATAGCGGAGGCAGCGGCGAGGGCAAGAGGAGGAGATGGTCCAGTCCTTTGAGTAGTGGTAATGACGGACGCAAGAAACGAAGGAGGAGCTGTTCCTGGGAATATGAAGAGAACCGCGAGAGTCAGAGTCGCAGCTGGAGTAGAAGTAGAAGTAAAAGTCCAAGAAGGAGAGAAGACAAACGGTCGAGGATGACGGATGAAAACAGATCGTCGTCAGCGTCGGCGACAGGTAGGTCGACAGGTAGAATCGATGACGACAGGAGGGAAAGGTCTGCGAGAAGTCCACGATTAACCACGAATAAAGGTGATTAATTTTATTTGTCGGCATCTCGAGGCACGATCTTTGTATTAATTTAACCGTGCTCGTTTATGCGTACAGATCATTTTAAGAAGCATCACGGATCTGCCGACAAGGGTCGAGACGAATGGAACAGGAGGAGGAAGTACGATGAAAATAGATCGTACGAATCGACGGTAACGGCGGAAGTGTTGAGGGAAAGAAACGTGGCAGAGGAAACGACCAGGCACAGAGATAATAGATCGTTTCGCGAAGACGATCGAAATTTATGGGCGTACGAGGCAGCCGAAAATGTTCTCTCGAGAGAGTCCGCCGAGTCTGTGGAATCTTATCAGAATCCGAGCCATCAGGATCTGAACGCAGCAGCGGATTACACGGAAGAAAAATACTACAGGGACGAGAGCATAGAAAGAGACGTTATGGAAGGTCCCTTTCATTTGAAATACAAACGGCACCACCACAGGTACGCGAAACGCGATGTTTATTACTACTTAATTAATAATAGAAAACGATGTGCGTGTGTGTATATTAATGTAAAAATTGTCGATTCAAGAAGAAATAAGAGCGGTGGTGCGAGGCGGGACAGGGACAGGCACCGCGGCGACTGGGAGAGGAGAGACAGAGAATTCGAACTAGACAGGCACGTTCGAAGGACCGAAAGATCATCCCGACGTCGTTCGTCTCCGACAAGATCGAGAAGATCATCGCCGTCGTCGTTGTCTCATTTCCGTGGACGTGGACGTTCCAGGTCGGCGTCCAAATCGTGGTCTAGATCCAGGTCTAGATCGAGATCGCGATCTCGATCCACGTCCCGATCTCGATCTATGCGGTGTTCCAGGTCCAGATCCAGGTCTGGATCTCGAACTAGATGCAGCTCGGGATCGAGAATGATTCGCTCCACCGCCGATCGTTTGCGTTCTTCTTCACGATCTTCCAGGTGAATATATCGTGTTGTAGACAGAAGGTAGACCGCGCGAACTTTATGCATTCGCGTACAAATAAACGCGCAGACACGCAAACACGAAAGCGAATGCATAAGAGGGATACGCGCGCGCGCGGTCTATAAATGTAGATTTATTGAGTTGTTGTCGGCTAATGAGTAAGGGAGTCTTGCTGTCGATTCAGATCACCATCGATTGGTGGGCGAGGTAGAATCAGCGAAAGCTCGAGGGAAAGGAAGGACACGGAACACGATAGTGTGAGACTAGGTAGCTGCCCCGACAGAGGCAGGCGAATAGAAACTATCGTGCAGTCCGTACTGTCCAGGAACTCGGACATGCAGATGGAGTCAGGTTTTCAGTATCCTGTTCTTACTGCTACTGCTGCTGCTGCTGCTGCTGCTGCTGCTGCTGGTGGTGGTGGTGGTGGTGGCAACGAGGTGGTCGTGAACGAATACTATTATACTGAAAATAATTTGACTTATCCGCCTTGCATTGACGACAACAACACGGGTTCTCCGAAACGTTTATCGCTTGACGATAGGTAAAATACATATACGAGAGATCGTGCTCTTAAACTTAGATACCCTTCCGCTTCCTTTCCACTCTGCCTAATCTACCGATAATCATTCTGAACCTCGAACACCAGCTACCCCACTCTTAGGCATCCCCCGTTCGATGATCCGAAGCCGAACTTGTGTGTACGACGAAACCGTTTCTCTTCGTTTTGTAGGCTTGAGCTGGAGTTGGGAATTAAAAAACAGAACGGTGTTCCGAGTGAGTACGACAGCTTCAACTCGCCTGTGTGTTACCCCTCGCCGAACCAGCAACAGCATTTGTATCGTCAGCAACCTACTACCGTTCTACAGGTACACTTTTTTATTTCCTTTTCGCGCCCGAATCCTTGTCAGAATGCATGCAGAATCGTGTCATTCACGTTAACTCGGATTCATCGCCGTGATGATAGGTGGGGAACGTGTTGCAAGTGGTGCCTGCAGATTTCAACGGACCACCGCCGCCGCCGCCGTCGTCGTCAGTGTCAATACGCGGCAGAGAATCGAACGTCGGATCCTCGTCGTCGTCGTCATCGTCGTCGACTCCGATCGTTCGCGGAGGATCGAACCAAGTAGTTCGCGTAGGTAATGTTCTTCAAGTCGTACCCACGTCGCTGGACTGGAGCGGACAGCCTTCCGCCTCCGACCAGTCCGCCGGAGGATTGATGTACCCCGCGACAGTCCCTCAACCTTCACCCGCCGCCGCCGTCGTCGTCTCATCTCATGTTCCTCTGTCCGTGCCCGTTCCAGTACCACCCGTACCCATGCCCGCCGTCGTGCCAACTATACCATCGTCGTCGTCGTCGTTGTCCTCGACGACCCCCGCCGGTTCCTGTTCTCTCTCTCCGATGCCTTTGTCGGTTCCTATTCCTGTTCCTGTTCCTGTACCTGTACCTGGCCCCACCTCAGCGGCGGCGGCGGCGGTACTATCAGCTGTGGGCCAAACTTATCCGAGGACGGAAGTCGCAGCGCCTAGTAAGTAACAGTTTCTGTACTCTTGTTTGCGCGCAATCGAATTCAACCGCGTATTTTATGCGAACGCGTTTATACTTTGTTATAGAAGTGCAGCCGGTACAGCCAGTCTATAATTACGAAGCGATTCTCGAGATGCGGAGAAAAGAGCAGGAGGAACGTAGACGATTGCGCGAGATTAAAAGGAAGGAGAAGGAACGTAGGCGAATCGAAAGAATTAATCGTCGGGCTCTCCGGTTACTGGAGAAGAGCAATCTGCGTCAAGCGGAGAGCCAACGGAAGAGTTCGGCTTTGGATCCGTCTGTGTTGAAAGCTCTACGAGAGAACGAAGAGCATACTGAATCGGCGGCGACGGAAGAACAGCAGCAGCAGCAGCAGCAGCAGACTTCTAGTGTTATCCCTGAAAAACAGGAGGAGGAGGAGGAGGAGGAGTATAAAGAATAAGAAGAGGACGAGGAGGATGCAGAAGAAGAAGACGAGGAAGAGGAAGTGGTGGTGCCCGTCGAAGAGGATGAAGACGATGAAGAAGAGGAAGAGCCCGAGGCCGAAGACGACGAGGTGGTGGAGGACGAAGAGGAACAACCGGAAGAGGATGAGGACGATGAAGAGGAGGTTGAAGAGAAATTCAAAACTAATAAAGTGAAGAACGATATCGAAGATGAGATCGCTGCGATTACAATGACGACCGAGGAGGCGGCAGCGGCGGCAGCAGCGTCAGCGGTGGCGACGGCTGTTGCTGGTAAAGTACAGATTGAAACGGAGTCCAAAGAGTGGCTGGAATTACCACTGCCGCCTTTGAAGGGAATTCTCGTCGCGTCAGGCTTCAGGTAAAATACTTTCAAGCATTCATTTTTACTGGCCTAATCCACTGACACCTGTAATCATCGTTACTCTACATGTTTCCTTTCTTTCGTGAACACTCTGCATTCAATTTAATATAGATTCCGTACTTTCCTTCACAGGAGAGCGTCGTCATCGTCGTCGTCGTCGGCGGCGGCGGCGGCGGCTGCGGCGGCGGCGGTTCCTAATGGTGGACACCTTGACGACTTGTTGTTGTCGTCGTCGTCCAGTCCTGAGCGCGATAACAGCGGAGACAATACGGACAAAGAGGATGACGACGAATTGAACGAAGATGAACTCATTGAAAATAAATCGGGGAAATCGAAGAGGAGATCGAGATCGAGAAGTAAACGGAAACAGAAGAGTAAGAAATCCGTAAAATTCGCGGATGGGATTAAACCTGGCGAGGGCACCAGTCCGAGCGGTGGCGAGGGAGACATGCCTTCGCCGCCGCCGCCTCCTACTTTGGCTACTCCGCGCTGCGCGGATGTCCGAGGAAGAGGATCGAGTTCGAGGAAGAGTAGCAGAAAGCAAGAGAAGAGGGCACGGCCACCGAAGACGAAGAAGAAAGTGAAGGTTCGTTCGTTCGTTTCTCACATCTCGGTAAATCCGACGATTTTAGCAATTTTTATTAAAATAATTTCTCTGTGCGTGTCTGTTTGTGTGTGTGTGTGTGTAGGTGAAGATAATAAAACTGAAGAAACCGCCGCGTGTCACACCGTTAACGGCAATGATGATGGACGATTCCGATGAACTGGACGACCGTTCGCCGCCTCCGGCACCGCCAGGATCTCCCCCGGCGCCGCACCTTTGGCCGAGTTATCTCTCAGCTTACAACGCGAACAGTCGTACCAACGAAGCTCAAACGGCGACGGCTCCTACGGTTTCTACCAGCACGGTTCAAGCTGTCACGCCGCCACCGCCGCCAACTCCGTTGCCCCTTTTAGTACCTCCTCCTCCTCTGAACTACACGATACAACCTTGTACGAAGGCGTGAGGCATGGTTCAAGTGGTGAAGACGAGAAAGGTAGACGACTGAAGCCTGGTATGATCCTGCAATCTTAAACGTTAGGATAGAGAGTTGTGCGAGACAGGAGATCGACTCCAGGACACTTTAATCGATCGAATCTCCTTGTGTGTGAAGAAAACAATGGAAATATCTGAAAATCAATCACCAGGGAATGATCAGAGAATTATTGTGGTCGTTAGTGACAATGTTCTGATTTGAAAATAATAGTTTTTGTAAATAGACTCATTGAAGATCACAAATAGAAAGTTACATCGTCTCGACGAATTCGTGTTATGTTTATATTATATTTTTCGATATGAGGAAGAGGCACAACGGGATAATGCTCGATAACAACACGGTGTATCGTACGAGCATTCAACTCTGTGTATGTGTGTGCGCGTGCATGAGAATATATGACGATCGTGAAGTAACTGTAAGAGAGGTGAATTTATCATTGTATATTTTACCTTTGTAGTTCAATAATTATTCGATTTAAGGATGTATTGGCTATAAAGTCAATCCCAAAAGTTTATGCGCTTTAGAAACGCATTTTTTAAAAAGAAATCAGACGTCGGAAGAACATTCCTAATAATAAACAACAACAAAAAAATTTTCGATTTTTCCGAGATTTTTCCAAGGGGTACCCCTTCAGATTTCTCGAAATTTTCGTTTTTTGCCAATAACTTCTAAACCGTTGGTTCTACGAGAAAATTGCATAGGACCTTTCTTGTAGAGGACGACGAGATCTACAATTTCCAATATATATCTCTCTCTATCTCTAATTGTTCGCGATTTTATTTGCACTTGGAAATATTTGTACATAATTATAGGTAGGTTTTAGATAAATTTCTAAATGATTGACATAGACAAAAAGAAGATGAGCCTTAGAAAACTTCCAATGTTCGTCGTCTGTACATACATACGCCGCTCGATGATTAACATGCGTATGTACAAGACTGTAATTACATTAAACGTACTGTTACTTTTTTCCTTTCGAGGCGAAGATTTACTTCCGCGGTTAAACTTCCATGAAGGGACGTTTAGAAAATTATCTATTTATATGAAATAAATGTAATTCTTTTAATAACAACGCTACCATGTCTGATCAATTGCGAAACGAGTTTATCCACACAGTCACACGATGCAAAACGAAGAAGAACTGTGATAAGAATTTATTATGTCCCGCCGCCGCGTCAGAGTGTCAGAGTACATCCGTTCCTCTCCGCCCTGCTCCTGCTGCAGCTGCTAACTGCAGCTGCAGTCGTCTTTGGAATCTTTCGGCAGAACGCAGAGCGAACAGAAATCGAAGATGAAAGTAGCTGTAGTCGGCGGTGGAATAATTGGTTTGACTACTGCCCTGCAATTAAAAAATGAATTGCGTAACGTCGAGTTGACTATTTTTGCGTCTGATTTTGATGATACGGTTAGTCACGTGGCTGCTGGCTTGTTTAGAATCGGTTCGTCTTATTCCGGGCCAACGGAGCAAGTGACAAGGTTCTCTGAGTTATCACTCGACACAATACTTATCTAAATTCTGATCTTTTTATTGATGATTGGAAAGTATATTTTGATGAATGTTCGCAGGGAATGGATTCGAGATTCGTACGAATATTACGATGATATCCGGAAATATGTAGATGCTTCCATTGCTGGTGTAACAAGCATTTCGGGCTATTTGTTTGCCAATTCCTCTCCAGACACTGTCAAAGTTCGTCGTCGTCTTATCCGTTTAGAATTTCGACTCGTAGACCATCGCAGCAGCAGCAGCAGCAGCAGTTATCCATTTGTAATAAATATGATTTGTCTGTTTCGTTTAAAATAGAATCGTTGGATGGAGAACTTGGTACCGATATACAGAAGAGTCAAAGACGAAGAGTTTCGATTAGTAGAGGGTAATTGGAAATACGGATCATTCTTTAGGACTCTGATCACCGAATGTAATTTGCATCTACCATGGGCACGTGAGAAGTAATGTCATAATATAATCTTGTATCTTTATCTGCGGTAAAAACATGTTTTACTGATATCTGCAAAATTTCCACTCATCAATTTCACACACGTACCCACATACAGATTGAACGAAAATGGGGTGAAACTGAAGACGATGAAAATAGATTCACTGAAAGAACTCGCGTCCCATTGGGATTTGATTATGAACTGCACAGGTCTCGGTGCACGCTCCTTGTGCAATGATAAATATCTCGTTGCTATGCGAGGCCAAGTGCTCAAGGTATGTATGTATGTATGTATGTACACGTGTACGACTTATGTCCTATTTGAAATGGTAACATATTTTATTGCGTATAGTATATAGCCGAACTAGCAAGTTAAATCGAGTTGAAATTTTATTTATCAACTATTTAGGTGAAAGCGCCGTGGGTAAAAACGTTTTTTTACGGAGAATTGGATACTTACATTATACCAGGCTTCAATGGTATGGTCACTCTTGGTGGCTCCAGAAATTTCGATTGCGAGAATACAAAAGTTTGCCCTCACGAGTCTGCGGCGATTAGTGAGAGGTGCAGAGGTCTGTTACCGGGTGTCATCGGGAAAGGTGAAGTCGTGCAAGAATTGGTTGGATTGAGACCGCACAGGGAGAGAAACGTCCGAGTGGAAGCCGAATGGATCTTCAATGGATCTTCCAAAGCAATCGTTAGTTCCAATCAAAGACGGTCCACGTGTGGTATATTACTTAACACTGTGATGTGAACAGCACACCACCTCATTCGTCATTACGTTACAGTTGGTTCATAATTATGGCCACGGTGGATACGGAGTGTGCACCGCACCAGGGACTTCCAAATACGCGGTTAAACTAGCCAGAGAGATGCATAAATCCTCCGTGGCGAAATTGTAGAAGGAAACCTGAACCGGAAGGATATTGTGTTCGGTGAGAGAAGAACCGAATATATACGCAGTTATACTTGTAATTAATCGTAAATCTTCAGTTATTCTCGTCAGATTATTTTCTACTGTTACTTCCTTTCTTCTGCTGCTGCTGCTGCTGCTGCTGCTGCTGCTGCTGCTGCTGCTGCTGGTAGTACGGGGTAAAGGATATTATGCCTTTCCCTTGCTCTACTACAAAGCTGCTGCTTTTCGATTCACACGTATACAACATTATTATCTGCTCGTATATGCTGTGTCGTGGTGTGCACGTGGTGTTCGATGGTTCGCTACGACTTGACAAACTCGTCGTCGTCGTCGTTTGAAACTATCATCGTTTGCCAAATGATTAGTGTGATGATGTCACGGTATCGACGGATCGAGAACCGAGATTGGAAGCTGGATTTTTGTTCCCGCCGCTACTTCTTGCCAGGTTTCACGTTCTTCCGAGGTGGAGCTCCCCACCTAAGAGCACTGCTGTCCACCGTTAACCTTGGCCTCTTGTACTGACTACTCTTGATGTGCTCTTCGACCAGTTTCGGTGTCACGCAGATCACGTGCTGTCCTTTCCAGTATTTAACCATGTTCATACTCTGCAGCGTGGATATGATATCCGTCTGCGAGATACTCGTCATTTGACTGTAAAATCGTACGAAGGAAAAATCATTTTTTATCCTCCACCTCTCGCCCCTATTTCATTTTTGTTTTCTTTTTTATGCACGAATGCATATAAAATCCGCGGTCTGATTATATTATCGTCTGAAGATTGTACCTTAAATCTTTAATGCTGAGAGTGCCTCGGAAGTCCCTGAGAATTTCTAAAAGAATCCAGCTCCAATAACTCCTGTACGATAACTTTCCCAAGTCACTCAACGGTTTCTCTGGACTGCCAACGGTTTGCTCTATCCTACTTAATTCATAACTGAAAGCTATCAACAGTTTTCCATATCCTTGCCTTTGAAACGGTGGCAGAGTTAAAATGCAAGCGACGTTGTTCCCATCGGGTGATTCTTTCTCCTAAAGATCGAATCGTTCGTGTGTTCTATTATTATTCTGATTCTGGTCTAAAGCGCTAAGCTGCTGCTGATCATGAATGAACGAGACACGACGTGCAAGTGGTACCTTGGAGAAGTAGCCGACCAGGTGAGCTCCGTGCTTGTCGACTTCGCACAAGATGTAAAATAGAAACGGCTCTACGTCGAAGTAGAGGGTTTTGTGATCCAGGAAAAGTTTCGCGAGCAAGCACAGGTTCTGGCAATAAATTTTATACTCCTTTCCGTCCACTTCCCAAATGCTCAACGTGCCTTTGCGATAGATCTCCTTGCCAACCGGCTGCCTGTGCGTGCATTCACTCTGCGACAAACTCTCGTTCTCAATCTCATTTTTGACACATTATTTAAGTTACAACAACGACTAATTAGAGAATGGAAAGGTCTGGTGAGATATACCATATATTTACCATGTGATATCTGTAAGTTTTTTCGAGCCGCATGTACTTGAGGCAGTACTCGCAAATCCACAGCTTCGGCTGCTTGCCATACTCCTCTGGATACGGGCTGAAGTACCAAGTGTCGATCTCATACTTTCCTGGAAGTGAACTTTTGAAAATAATGAGACCTTCTCACGCGCACACACATACGCGCGCGCGCGCGCGCGCGTATTGAACATCGACGAACAACAATGAGAAAAATTAAGATGCTTACCGATCTGAATCTTATCGATGTATTTCACTTTTGTGATTGCTTCGTGTTCTTTTTCCAACGCCGCAGTCGTGGGATCCATCTCTGCGTACGTCTACAATTATTCCAATTAACAGGAGTGTGTCCGGCAAGAAACGGTTACAAAGTGACTACTACCGTAGACCTATAGGCGGTCGTGACTAACGTCGATTACACACGTTACACGAAACCGAAATCAAACTTTCTTTTTTTAACAGACATAATTTTATCTACTTACCTTCTGAACGTGATTGATTTCGTCATGCCTCCTCTTTTGGTTCCTCGTAATTTTACGATCCGAGGAATCTGCCAACAAATCGGTGCCAGAGTTTCTGTCTCCACTCTTCCAACTCCTGTCGCTCATATCAAATCTGCTGGACATGATTCTATCCCTTGGTACCCATTCGTCCAATCGCCTGTTGTGCCCTTCGTAATGTACGTAGTATTCGTAATGACTTTCGCTCTCGTTGTATCGAGTTTGGATGATCTCCGCTGGATCTGGAAAATGTTCAGACGTACAGTATTTATGATCAATGGATCGATGACACAGACTTCCACATCTCATATGTAACGAGTCAGAAAATACGTTGGGAAATACACGTACGTCGAATACGAGGAGGGCCATGTAACGATTTACATTTAAAAACATAAGAGATAATCGAAATAGTAGCAACACAGTATAGAAGAGCATTCCTGAAAACCGAAACCCAGCCACACCGGAGCCGGCAAGAGTAAGACGGTAGATTGTATTTGTCAATTTGACACAATCGCTCGCACGCACGCACGCACGAAGTGTGCAAGGCTACTTCATTAAATGCCTGCGGTTTTTATTAACGAAAAAGAAACTACACTCACGCCAAGAGTCATCGGATCTTCGTACGAGGTAGTGTTCGCCGATATCAAGGGGCAATTCTTCGAGGCTGTCCGCGTCATCGCCAGATCCTTTTCCGCCGCCATTCGTCAACGTGTTCTCGCGCTTTTCTTGCTTCACTTGCATCGTTTCCTTCGACCCGACGACAATGCAGTTCTCTTTGTTCCTCTGCTCGGCCTCGGCCATTCTGCGCTACTACGAGGCTCGTAGTACGAGCCTAAGTACTACAATCCAAACAGATGGTCGTCGGCACGATATTTAAACCACTGGTGGAACATTGCACTGTGCCTAATGATTCAACGCCGATGTAACAGCGATGATAGTGATCTGATGAATACCACGGCGGCACTATGCACAGTGGTGTGTATATACCTGTAACCTGCTATAACCTATAATCAGTAAGAGCACAGCAATACTCGTCGAAGAAAATTATAGTGACTGTGAACTGTGTGACGACGTGATACCGATGACTGTTGTTGACCGAGAAATTCTACGACGTATGTATATGTATCATGTTTCGTCAAAACAACCAAGAATAATGGCGAACGCGTTCAAAAACGGTATATCAAAAAGGGTATAATCAAATATTTTTAGAGAAGAGTTGTTGAAGTATTTTCTAATTATACTAACGCCATCTAGCGTAATCGGCTGAAAATATACACTTTGTATTAGGCAAATATAAAGTGATAGGAGGTTCCACTAACTCCTCGTGTGACGTCAGCAACAGGAGTTAGTGCTACCTCCTTTGATTCATATTCTCCTAATATGAGAAGCGTGATTGGTTAGAAATCCAAAATGGCCAACGAAGGGAAGCGTCCGTGATTATATTCTGATTGGTTAGAAATCCAAAATGGCCAATGAATAGAAGCGTCCGTGATTATATTCTGTGATTGGTTAGAAATCCAAAATGGCCAACGAATAGAAGCGTCCGTGATTGGTTGTTCAAAGGGCGTATGCGCTGCTGCTGACGTCACACCAGGAGTTAGTGGAACCTCCTATCACTTTATATTTGCCTAATACAAAGTGTATGTTTCCAGCCGTTTACGCTAGATGGCACCACGAGCGACCCCAAAATCATTTGAGATAGTATACAGCGAATCAGAATCGAGTCATCCCTACCAGTCCTACCACTAATAATTTACATCGGACGTGAAAGAAGCTCGTTCGTCTCTGGTAAAAGTATGGCGCTTTCCACGAGGCAGCAAGAGGGTCTGAGACAAGTGCCATGGTTTTCTCTGTGAGTATTTTAATATTCGAGCGTTCTCTTCATTTGTATACAATGTTTGCCGACTGATAAAAACGTTTTATCGCAGCGCAGAATGGCATCGAGTGTACGAGCAAATTTATTCAGACGATGTGAACCAGCAGGACAAAGGATACGAGATGATGCTTGCATGGAAGGCAAGGTAAATTATTTTTAATAAATAATTGCGAAACGAATTCGACAACCTTTCCGATTGTAACCGTGAAATAACAGGATACCGAAGCTGCCAGTGGGGATCGATTGCACTCTCTCCATCCTCCGAATCTGCGTGAGAGATCGCGAATGGACGCGGAAGATCGACGACGGCCATTTGCCGGTTAATTATGAGACAGATTTGTGCCTGATGTACTCGGCCACGATCATGAGGCTTTTGAATCACATATCGAACATTGGCCACACGAAGCAGACGTCTTTGTTTCAGATAGCGAAACGGATCAATATTCCAGAGTGGATCGTAAATCTGCGACATGACACTGCTCACGGTTATGAATTACCCAACATCGGTGTTCTACGAATAGCTGTGAACATTTTGCTCGCCTGGTTGCACGAGGAATACTGGGCACCCGAGGCTAAGAGACTGGAGGAACGTTTGGCCTCTGTCGCCGCTACCGCCACCGTGGACGAATCCACCGAGGTCGAACAAGTGCAGCAGGATATCGGTGACTTGATCGAGCTCTGGACGTCTGTCAGCTTACACATTCATGCCGGTTATAATTTAGTGTCCAGCGTGCCTGATCCTCGATTGCAGGAGACACTGCTAGATCTCCGTTCACATGCAATGTCTTTGTCAGTAAGTAAAAACGATGGTAACGACGACGACGACGACGACGACGACGAGGATGATGATATAGAACTGAGCGACAGACATGATTACATAGAGACTGCTGCTAGCGACGATGTTGGAAAAGATCATCGTGTTCAGAATCAGAAATACACGTTGAAGACTGCAAAGATCGTCCTCGTGTCTGAAATATTCAGATATCTCAATAGAAAATCAATTGCCAACAGGAACGATGCAGTTTGCACGAATCTTCTCGCGTCAGAAGCTTTTCTACCAACGAACAAGGATGTACTGTCGATTTTTCAAGCTCAAGAGGACCGCGAGGACAACGATGAACTGAGCAACGACATTTTGCCATTGGACATGGTCACGTTTTGGAAAGATATCATATTTTTGTTGTACGAGAAAGATTGTATGGAAAGTCTGATCGTGAAATTAATCGAATTGGTTAATGACGAACAGGCGAATAGAGAGAGGAGATTATTAGCTTCTCTGTGGACAAGCACTCTGGCGTATAGTTTTCTCAAATTAGACATTGCTCACAGGATATCGCGAGTGTTTGAATATCGATTAGAAAAGAATCTGTCGTCAAGAGCTTTTGAGAATAGAGTGAAAGAGGAAACGGATCGTGCCTATCCACGTTTAAGACGTGTCCTCTGGTTGAACTTGTCGGATACGGTGTTGTCGTGTTTCACCGATAAAAAATTCGTTTCGAACCTACTGTTAAACGTAAACGAATTCTCAGTCAAATTCATCGTTCCTATCTTAGAATTAGCGAGTCCGAAAATAGGCGATGATGACAAACGATTGCTTTTGGATCTAGTGAATATTTATACGACCTCGCCTTCGAGTTGCTGCGTAAACAAGAAAATTTTTACGCTCAAAGATCTCCGTAGCATAGAGAATGAACGAGAGGGCAATGAATTAGAACACGATGACGACGTAGCGTGGTGTGGTCCTGTGGCTGATGATGAAACAACGGTGCGAAATGATTATTGGAAACTCGCCGAAACCGCTGGTGATGCTGATGGTCGTGGTAAGTAGAATGGAAACACAGTGTGTGTGGGAATTGTTTAAGATTTCTTTCGCTTCACGTTTTAGCTACGCATAATTGGTCAGAGTGTCCGATCGGTTTGCTTCCCTGGCAAGATTCAATGAAGTTCATAAATCCAATAGAAACGATAGTAGAAGAGCGTGACACTCGTACTTCATCACGCCAATCTGAAATCACGCCTGGAATCATAGATAGAAACGACTTGAGAATGCAGAGCCAAATTAATTGGGACAACGTATTGAGGAAAAAGAAACGGTTGAACAGGAGGCAGGAACGGAGGAACGCCGCAAACGTAGTTATAAATAAAGCTATAAAGACTGCTGCTGCTGCTGCTGCTGCTGCTAAGAAACGAGGATAGCACGTCGTATAAAAGTAATCTGTCCGTTCGTTCGTAAATTTCGTCGTTTCGTCTTTATCGTTTCCGTGTACGTCTCCGTTTGACAAAAGGTATGGAACTTTTTAATAATTATTATTATTGATCAATTTTAAAAATCTATCGAATTGAAACATCTTCGACGTGAAACATCATTGTTACAACGTTCTCTAAAGCGATGATTTTGATTAAATATCTTTTTATACATTATCTACATTTTAATCGTCCAAAACCTTGTTTCCCACTGGGGATTGTGTTCCACGTTAGACAAAATCATCGAGTACAGTACGAATAGTTGAATATTCATATTATCATACACAAATCGTGTAACGATCCATGCTGAATCTTCAACGAATTCGAATCGAATCACTAGTCTCTTCAGTTTTAACAAAAATATATACCAATTTTTATACAGACATATATGTACACGGAGTATCATCGCGCCGCCGCCGCGTAATTCACACAATTCGTCGTACAGTCGTCGAGTGCACTCGCTCGGTTGTCAACTCTCCATTCGGAATCTTCGATTAATCCGGCTTATCCGGTTGGGTTCGAACGGCGCATACAGACTTCCTCTCACTTGTTCCTCCGTACGTGGTACGTGCATGGTTTGTTCAAGCCCATCACCCTTTATTTTTTACTAATACCCCTTCATTTACACGTTTCTCCATTCTCCGTAACATTCCATCACCGCCGGCTATCGGCACAACTAAAGGTTATCTTCTCTATCGGAAGAGTTTCGTCGTCGACGAAACTAAAAATGGAAAATCATTTTGTCCGTGGTGTTGGTTGCTTTAAGCACGTCTGCGAGATGTTTAGACGTGTTCAATCCGAACTTGTCTATCGGTGTTCGTGACATTGCCGCTATTCTGAAATTTCACACATAGAAACACACACAGAAAATATTGTATTCAGTGAAGAACGACCGAGTCACGTCAAGTCTGTTCACGTTGTTAAGGTACCTTCCACCCGATACGTTGTGTAAAAATTTCCAGTAGGAAGACCTCAGGTTTTGTGGCTCGACGATCGCAGCGTGGAAGACTACAGCTGTATTGAAACAATATAGAAAGATTGCGAACCATTTCACTTCAGGCACTATCCCTTTCTCCGCGAGATCGTACCACAGTAACTGAAAAAAATATAACGACGGAGCAATTAAAAATTTTTTTTTATCTTCATCCAACGATCCGTCATCGAGCCGAATACACATGCCTGCAAAGCTTTCCACATGAAGTACAAACTTATCGTGTTACTTTTGTAGGTCGTGAACGTCAGACCACCGATAAGTGCAGCGGGAAACGCAAAGTAAGGAGAATCTTTTTGGATCGTCCTCCTCAACGAACAGGACACGAGCTACGGGGATACGATACGAGTAATTCGTCGTTCACGTAAACAAAGATACTACACGTACACATGATGGTACAACGATTCGATAGAAAGTTTATTGTAATACCTACTCTGTAAAGCGCTGCGAAACCACCTATAAATATCGGCAGATACAGATTCCCTTTCTTCACGATCATTGACTTCAACAGCGTTGGCTTTTTAATTAATTTCGCAACACCGAAGACTAGATTAACAACTAATTGACCACCGAAGGCATAGCCGAATACCTGCACACCTCCCTGTGAAGCGAAAATCAGCGTAAATACTTGGAAATTCTACATTTATATCACGTTGATTCGCCGCCGCATACCTTCAATATGTAATGAATGCAGCTGAAAGGATGTGGACAACAACTCCGTTTACTCTTAACTTTTAATCTGGCCAACAGATTTCCGTACGCTTCCAGAGATTTCATAAATATGTTTATATCCTTTCTCGCTGGAGAGTTTACTACCGAATCATTCCTGCACCTATTCACCGTTTCGCTTGAATCCTGTATCTCACAGCTCGGATTCTCAAGATATTCAGCATCTTCATACTTTCCAACGACGAGTCTAACAAAATCGTATAATCGTTCGACTTGAAATTAATTGGAATTCACGTGGACACACAGAGAACATAGTACGTACACGCATACCTGAGTATCTTGTATACCGGATCTGACTTGCTCGTTTTGGAACGATAATAGTAAAGCAACGCTGCCATGCTTATAGCAAAAATACATGTTTCAGCAAATGGGACTGGATGCCAATACCCCCTCGAGACTCCCATTCTAAACAATGTCTCTGATGCCTAACAAATCATTTATACAGACACATATACACGCGCACATACATGTGTTTTTTATAGTAATCGCGGAACGGAATATATAAGTAACTGTAACGGTATTGATCGTCTACTCACGATATTGGATACGTATAAAGATAACAGAGTACGTCGAGAAGGCCTTTCGATGAGAATAGCTGTAAAACTGGCCAGAAAAGCGGGAAAGAACGACACAGTCAGGATATTGAAATGTCCGAGCACTCGCCTGAAACGCACAATTCTCAGGTGAACAGTGGGTACGAAGTAAGTGTTCGGATCCACGTACATACAAAATAGAGAAGGACATTACACGTTCTCGGTGGTGGTATTACATACGAACGGCGATGCACACGCACCTTAGAAAACAGACGAAGAAGGAATAGGCAAAACCGTTCCAAGAAAGAAAGGCAGTCGATTGTAAAATACCGAGCACGGTTTTTTTAACGTCACCTTTAGACGGCACCTTGCCTCTCATTAAAAATGCGACCTAAAACGGTATTTAAATTACAGTCGCACCACTCGAGTGACATAACTCGTTTTTACTTTCGAATTCCGAATCATGTGACAAAATTACACGACGTCTCTGTCGTACGACTCGTTACTCTCTTTTTCCTTTCGGTGAACATTGGTCGGCACGTGTTTGAAACGAATAAATAAGCATTCAACAGTAAAGCGAGCAGTGACACGAAAAAACGATCACGAGGACGCGATCCGTATTCATCCAGTAAACCGGAAAATTGTTCGAGTAACATTGCCGTGCTGACTTTCAAGCGTGAAGTAAAATAATATTGCATAGTAAAAGTTTTATTCGAGTTTTTCGATACTCGCGAGCTTTTTCTATCAGCGTTCGCACGTGGATAAAACCGCGCGAATGGTATTGCATAGGAACGTGAGGCAAAACGCGTGATGAGACAAAATTATTGTTAACTGATGATAACGCGCGTACTATGTAGACCGTGGAGTAAATCCTCAGCGATTCTTGAAGCGTGTTAAGACCGAGGCCAGTCGTTGCACGTGTACAAGAGTCGACCCAAGGGTGAGAAAATTCTTTACAGCTGGCGTCGATGAATTTGCTTAATTGCGGAGCCATTCTGCTGCTGCTGCTGCTGCTGCTGCTGCTGCGTTTACTACTACGATTCACTTTTCAATTTAATAACGCGAAACAGAGGATTTTGCTAATCTCGTTTCAAACCGAGATAAATATATCGGTTTTTCGTTCGGAAACGACAAGAACAAGACGTACGCGTATACGAATTCTTCGAGCGCTTGTCACAGACTGTCTCTTTCAGCAATTCAACAACAAGTTGGAAAATTGTATTTGTAGCAGCGGCATCTAGAGGCCACTGATCAGCGTTACCAGATCGAGGGATTTCCAGGGATTTCTCCTCTTCCGGTGCCGTCCCTCACTACTGTAGTTTCTCCCCACTTACGTTACCCATGGACGTGCACCTAATTCAATTTTGTAACATGACGCGCATGTCCATGGATAACGTAAATAGGAAGAAATAATAGTGGGGACAGCACGGGAAGAGGAGAAATCCTTCGATCTGGTAACGCTGCCACTGATTAAAGTAATTTGTGAAAAAAGATACTTACTTGCGCGGAATTCATTTTTCGCGTATATACCTGTGCATATTATTAACAGAGAGTTTCTCTCTGTTATTAACAATTATTATTCTGTGTTTTAGACATCGATAACACGTCTAGGATGTTCTGCTCGTTCATTAGATTTCATTCTCTCTCGAGCATCAATTATTGCGAATCGAAGTCTATAAAATACATCGTTAATTTACATCTCTATGTTACATATCTGCTGATGAGATACATCGGAGGTCATCGTCGTCCATCAGCAGGTAAAGCGTTCGATGAATTTTGTTGATTCATATCGTATAAAACGACTGACTCTGACTATGAACTGCTGACAGGTGTGTGTGTGTGTGTGTGTGTTGATGAGAAATTGAACGCGCAGTATCGCGTGGTTCTAGACAATTCGAGATTGAAACGCCTTATAGACCCTGTAAAAGATATCATCAGATAAGGGGGCGACACGATTATATGTATTTGGATTGCGATTGGTCACACACAATCGAATAGGTGGTAGTTTTCCGTGTCTGATCTCCGATGAACGCGGCAATTGTCAGTCAAATTTCAACTTCGTACGCCGTACGCGGTGATATATAAGCAGCAGCGGTGTGGAGGTAGAGATGAGTGTGCTATTAAACTTATTTCGACACACGAAACTTTTTCATCATCTACTACTACGAGTACCGATCGAACACACACACACACAGGGTTATTGCATCGGCCGGTACGTACATACACACCGTCCATCACAGGAGCAGCCTGCCGCAGTATATGTAAACGGTCACAGTCTATGTATTTACGTTCAAACAAGCTTTTAAGTATACCTAATTTCTTCAAATGGTATGTAATTTGAATACTACAGTTCTACCATTACAATTACAGAATTCAGAAAATTGAGCCAGTGAGTAGAAATTGGAATACTCATTACACCCACCCACTTATAATTGCTCCTACTTTCGTATTCTATTCGAATCTGCAACATGGTCGTTAAGAAATCTCCAAATCTCTATGGAACAACGATGCTCGTCATTTTACATATACATGTTGATAAAATATGCTTTCGGTATCTCTCGCAAGTACGAATTGAAACGTTTATGATGCGATCTTGTTTGCTTGCAGCTTATCGTGGCGCCATACACGTGATCACAACAATTACTAGTTGATCGATAAACAATCTCGTACGAAGCCGCCGCCGCTGTAAGAAAAGAGCTGAGAGAAATGACTGTGGGACTGAAGACCATGGAATTTTTGCGATTAGGCCGACGGATTCGTCGACGGTTAAACGCGAGGAATGGTGAGTAAACCGCGCGCGAATACTTAATCCGAATGTTTTCATCTCGCAATCGTGATTGCCGTGATTGTGATCGAACGATCGAACGATCCGTGCGATAACGCGGCGGAACGTGACGTTTCGTTCAATCAATCGCCGACGACGATGTGCACCTGCACGTGACCAACTAGAACGAAGACGAGTGTGTATGTGTGTGTGCATGTCATACAATAAAAATAAAACTTGTAATAAAATGAATATTAAAAGATACGGGATTACTTCTGTTTACAGTGTCCGGTACGCGCTCTCCTATACATACATAATATATATATGTATATTATTTCATGTTACATATCGCGCGCTGACAGTATCAGCATAATAATCATACATACTCGTCGAACTCCTCTCTCCGCCCCCTCTTTTTTTTTACTCAAGTTCCTCCGCAAGCCTTTTGAAGGTCAATTATGTGCAACTCGCGTGGTAGCTCATTTATTGGACGAATGATTTATAGAAAACTCGAAACCGCGAATTATGGCGATCGTAAAAGTCTTCGATAAAACGGCGTTCTATAATTAATGTTTGAAATTGTAGAGACGTTTATTACGTCGCGCTGCATTCATCGCAAGCGCGTAATGAACTTATCTCCGATTACATAAAAAAGAAGAAAACTATCATCTCCGGGGACCACGGAGATTAAGCACAGCGAGCCAGAAACGCAACGTTTAATTGTAAATGTAATACGCTGGACAGCAGTAGTGCGCGCGTGTTGCGGCGCGAATTAGTGACTTTGGCCTCTTATTCTGTATTTGCCGCTTGATTCTTCGTTTGCAAATTTCATCCAAGTCCGTTCTGATCTGATCGTGGTGTAATACGAAGTGAACAATGACAAACACGGATCGAATTATATGTAATTTCTTTTTTTTCTTCCTCTCTTTTCACAGTAAGCGATCAACTTCTCGGCGACGGTGAAGAGAAGAGGAAGAGAATCGCCTCGAACGTCGACACGAAAATGTTGAAGATCGGGTTCATAGGAGGCGGCAAAATGGCCCAGGCTCTGGCCAAGGGCTTCATTCGAGCTGGTAAGAAGAACGACGGAACTGTCGTCGCGCCGCGTGGACGTTCACGAAGATGAGCGCGATTTATTAGAATCCGATTTTTCTAGGGCTGAGCAAGGGGGAGATGATGTTGGCCAGTTGTCTACCGAACGACACGGGCAGCATAGATGCGTTTCAGGTGAAAACGATAACCATTTTTTATCAAGATAAATCTGATTCGCGATACGTTGCGAGATTATAGACGCGACAAAAAAGATAGTAGATCACTCGCGTACGTTCGAGTGCGAGTTCGTTATCGTTCTTTGTTAAAAGAAAAACAAAAAAAGAACAAAACAAAAAGAAGCAGAAAAACAAAGAACGGTTGCTCGGCAAACAGATAAGAGTGTTGTAAACTCGTTTGCGATACCCTCGACGCGCGAGCAACGATTACATGAATTATTTGTCGTGTCGATGTACTTATCGAGTTTCCAGCAACGTCGCGGTAGCTGTTTCACGTCGATGAGACGTCCATCTAGAATTTGCAGATACTGTATCGGAACTCGGTTTTCAGAAGAATTATATCAGATTGGAACTAATTGCAAAAACGTTCGACCAGTTGTTATACTTGATCGATCGCTATCGCGCTTAGGAAAGTTTCCACGTCCAGTTTTTATCTCGCTTTCTTCGATTTCGAATCGTGTTGCTGTTGTTGTTGTTGTTGTTGTTGTCGTCGTTATTGTCGTTGATCACATCGTTAACCAACGCAGGAAATCGGCTCGAGCACCGTATTTTCGAACGAGCCAGTCATCAATTACGGCGACGTTCTGATCCTGTCGGTGAAGCCACAGGTGATGCCGAAAGTGCTCCCGGAATTGAAGAATTACACGAAACTCTTACTCTCAATAGCGATGGGAGTTCCACTGGCGTCGATAGAAAAAGTAAGCCGTTTTCTTCGATTATTATGAATCGTACGACGCGCATCACGTTTCTATTTATATCGATCGATAGGCCGTGCCAGCGGGAACGCCGGTGATAAGGGTGATGCCCAACGTTCCGGCCATCGTAGGCTGCGGTGCGACGGTCTACACTCGCGGAAAGCATGCCGGAGACAAAGAAGCTGAGATAGCAGAAAAATTATTTTCCTCCGTAGGCGTGTGCGAGGAAGTTCCTGAGAACTTGATCGATCCTGTTACGGCTTTGGCTGCTTCCGGGCCTGCATACGTAAATAACGTTTTAAACTATATATATAAGTTTTCGATGACTCGACTGAAATGAATAATATCTTGCTGTTACTGCTGCTGCTGCTGCTGCTGCTGCTGCTGCTGCTGCTGCTAGGTGTACATGATGATAGAAGCTTTGGCTGACGGTGCTGTAAAGATGGGCCTTATGAGGCCAACTGCTTACAAGCTGGCTGCACAAACTGTCCTCGGAGCCGGTACCATGGTTCGCGATACAAACATGCATCCAGGACAGCTTAAAGACGACGTGGCCTCGCCAGGAGGTATATATACCACCGAATCGAATCGTTCGAATTATCTATGCGATTTTTCAAGTTCGTCATGTTCATTTTTATTAGGATGCACCATAACTGCGATCCATTATTTGGAGCGGCACGGACTGAGGTCAGCTCTGATCGGTGCGGTCGAGGCAGCGACGAAGAGATGCAAGGAAGTCAGTTCGCACTCCGACAAAAATTAATTACGATTGCCGAGAGTATGAGAACGTATACACGATAGAATGTACGAATCACTATGATCACAATGATGGAGGATCGCTTTAGCTGCAGCAGCAGCAGCAGCAGCTTCCTAAGTAATTCCTAATTCGATGAGAGAGTAAATTAGAAAGGAAAATGTTTCGTATACAATATTTTTTTGTTCCTTGAAACAGTGAAATCATGAATTTACTATTGTGCGGATGATCGATTCGAACTGTAGATCTGTTATTTTTTTCTTTACACGATAACGTATTTTTTAATAACAGTGTATAAAAATCAGTGTAAATATACGCTTCATTATTTTAATGACGATACGTATAATCATCGCGTTTTTGTTCTTCTCCCCGTTGGCTCGTTCGTGCCGCCTGCCGCCCATCCAATCGCACTGTCTCATCACCGATAGAAAGTTGAACGAGTGTGAACGTACAGCGTGTGCGCGCGCGTACGCGTGTGTGGGCGTGGGGTACTGCAATCGGTGGTGATGGAAGGAATGGACGGAATGGACCGAGGAGGGGAAGCGTGCAACGTGTTAAACGTGTGGAATAAATCATGGCGAAACAAGTGAGAATGGTACTGATAGATCTCAGTGGAACACTGCACATCGATAATACAGCAATACCCGGTGCTGTGGACGCTTTAAACAGGTTGTATCTTTAATTATTTCGGTGCAAAGAACCGATCGCGAGAGCGTCGTGCCCACGTTACATTGCTTCGATACTGCGCCATTCAACGCGACCGCGTTTTATTCAATTGGAACGTATAATTGTTAATTAATTGTAACACACACAGGCTTCGAGATGGCAACGTCCCATTCAAATTCGTTACGAATACAACGAAGGAGTCTAAAAGTTTTCTCCACGATCGTTTGACGAACCTCGGTTTTGATATTCAGAAGGAGGATATCTTCAGCTCGTTGGCTGCGGCGAGAAAATTGATCGTTTCACGGAAACTAAATCCATTGTTATTAATCGATCCAGCTGCTGACGAAGATTTCGAAGGCTTGGTAAACGCGGATCACGAGAAGAACGCTGTTGTAATTGGGCTGGCACCGGATAAATTTAATTACGAAGAATTGACGAAAGCGTTTAGGTAAAAGCGATCCTATTTGTTAAATATAGTTGGGTAGGCAGGCAGGCAGGCAGACAGGCAGGCAGCTGAAAGAAAATGTATTTAAAAATGATCTGATTGCTGCAGATTGGTGCTGGATGGCGCGCCGCTGATCGCGATTCACAAAGCAAGATACTTTAAAAGGTCCGATGGTCTGGCTCTAGGTCCCGGCGCGTTCGTCACAGGCTTGGAGTATTCAGCGAACGTCAAAGCCGAAGTCGTAGGCAAACCAGCTGCGGAGTTTTTCAAAGCTGCATTGTTCGACGTGCCACCGGAAGATACAGTGATGATCGGCGATGTAAGATCGATTTACTTTTAACTTACTTCTCGGTATCGTCTTTGTCAATAATTATCGCCGACGTGCCGACGTTTCGATCGAATCAGGATGTCAACGATGACATAGCTGGGGCGCAAGCCGTGGGTATCAGAGGTGTTCTGGTACAAACCGGGAAATACAGGCACGGAGACGAAAATAAGATCGTACCACCGCCTGCCAAAGTTTGCAGCTCCTTCGTCCAGGCTGTCGACTGTATCCTTAATAAAGAAATTTAAATGTAAGTACAATTGTACACGTTTAATTGTATCGTATCGTATCATTCTGTATCGTAAATTAGATATTTTATTTGAACAGCAATCATTTCGTAAGGGTGGTGTACATGTTCTGTGGAGTAGTCTCTCGCGATACAGTTCAGCTTCGATATATGTAGAACGTACACAGTGATTACAAAGAAAATTCCCGATTCCCGATGTATCGCGCGCGTTTCGTTTGCCTCGCTGTTGCCCCGCCAAGGCTCTTGTAGACGTCAGACAACGTTACAAAAACGTGTGTCGAATATCGCCTCGTCACGCGCGCGTGGTAGGGCGTAGAAAATTTCAACTGCCATCCAGTAACAAGAACAACAAGAACAACAATGAATCGTGTATCTGCGGAAATTAAGATGGGAACAGCAGTCGTACATTCGTAAATATCGCCAACGGTACAAGACGATAGTTCTCAGACGCTGTTTACGCATGATTCTTTAAGCACCCGGCGGGATACTGTACCGAATAGTTTGACAATTTTGAATTTCTGTCGTTATACGTCTTAATCTTAGATAATAAATGCTACACGACTATTGTACTTGGTAAGTTTATTCGAGGTCGTTAAAAGCATCTTTTCTCTTTATCAAGAGATCGGTGCATCGCAGGAATTTTTCCTCTCACTCAGTACAAAAATTTGGCACCAGTTTTGTTTCTTTTAAATCCTGTTCTGTTCCTATTCTTCTTCTTCTTCTTCTTCTCGTCGGCGAACTAACCGTTCGCAACCGTTTCCCGTACGAAGAAGACAAGTACATATACAGTTTTACAAGTTAGTTTTGATTTTCGATAGTGCAATTAATAAGCGCTCGTTTTTCATATCGATATACATTAATACTCTTCAACTTCGACGAACAACGTCGTTTTCATGTCGGTGTGACTGTGAGAAAGGCTTAGTCATCGTTTCTTTTTTTACTGTGACACTCACCTACCCCCTAATTGTACGAAATTCACATACTTATCTCGCGCGCGTGTAAAGCTAACAGAACATCCGTTCTATAGAAGAGCAAATTTGCTAAAAGATAGCGTAAGAACGTCCCCGAGTATGCGAACCACGATTATTATGCGAACGTGAATATATAAAGTATCCGACGAGTTTCGTGAGAGCTTGTATAATATTCTAAGAGTCAACTTAAGATCGATTTACAACTAAATGCACTACTGGATACTAGAATTATGCACCGCACGTTGACTCACGATTTGATCGAGTGTCGTTAAACGATCAGCTTGCGCGATTCAAATGCCCTCCTGCAGAACTTACGACCTAGGATCAGGCACGCGATTTCCTGTTTTGCGATAGCGAGGGTCATTTTTACGAATTAAGACTAATTACAAAGATTGCCCGCGGTAATTAAAACGACAAGATACATACACACATTCATACATACATACATACATTCATTCATACATATTTATAATGTAAAAACGTTGAAACGAATGAAACGTGAATAACTGTACATTATATTTTTGGTAGTTCCCTTAATTAACGTTCATCGACGACGAAAAATTTATCACAGAGCTCCGACAATTTCTAACACGAGCGCGAAAAGAGAGTGAGAATTATTTCGAGTACGCTTTTAAATAATTCTAACGAAAGCTTAGCAAATAAATAAGAGACCTATACAGCATCGTACAGCGTAGCATGTTAAAATGTAACAATGGAATAATCTCTAGATGTATTAAAAACTGCTTCTATGTCATCCGCTTATAACGCAAGTGGTTACGACATTTAGGGCCGCCGCGATCAACAAACTGCATCCCAGCATCGCGCGAGATCAGCGTGTAAACGTTTCAAATTTTTACGAATACAACATTTTATTTATACAGCCCGTCATCATCATCATCATCATCATCATCATCATCATCATCATCATAACCGAATAAGTTACTTACACTTCGCACTTTCTATGTACAGTTCATAGGATTCTCTAATGGAAAGGAATTTTAACATACGATCAACAACTACACATCATCCATTTCTCTTTAAATCTGTTAAACTCGTTTCTCCGGTAAGAGGAAATTCTGTCAGCGTAGTTACACACTCGCTTAATCGGTAATTAAAATGTATTTAAACTTCGTCACCAACACCATCACCATCACCGCCACCCTCTCCACTCTCACATGAAACACTGTTTTATATATGTATATATATATATATATATATATCTTTAATACAAATTTAATTAATGGAAGTTATATCACTGACAGAATTCGATCCGATCATACCGCGAAGACAGATAGATAGATTTATCGCTCCCTGTTATCGCTAGGAAACTGTTCGTTGAACTGTTCATTTGGCTGTCTTTTCATTTGATTAATAGTAAATTGACATTTCCATCTCTATAGTTTGCTCTCTTTTATAATGATGATAATAATAAT